GTTCACTGTATAGATTTTAGAGATTACTTCATTGACTTTAACTCTAGAATTTTCTGACAGTGCCTGTGTAATAGCTTCAGATGTTACAGCAAGGTGCTTACTAGCATACTTTTCAGGTCAGGACTTGGATCTGATTGGCCAGTTCAATTTCTGATGTTTTACTCCAGGGCAAGATGTTTATCCCCTGTGAGATCGTGAATTCATTAAAATACCATTATCTCCTACTCTTTCTATATCTACTATCAGATGGCTCTTTCTATATCTACTATCAGATGACCTACAGAACCTCAATGCATTACAGTAGAAATAGAATCACCATCTTTCTCATGGTTGAGAACAACCACCCATGTATCTTTAACTTCTGAGAGGCAAGCACTGTTTCAATGCCCTATTTCTTCAAGGCCAAGAGGACTTAATCTAGGAAGAGCTGTAGCTCCAACTCTTTTATTGTCTCCTGAGATCCCATTTTGGAGTTGAGTCTCACCAACATTGTATTTGCTTGCAGAATGAAGAGCCACACCTTCCACTTTGTCACCTTACATAAGTGTTATAATGACATTTTCACCAGCAAACCTTTGATTTGTACACCCATGAGATTTTCTTCTTTAATGAAATCCAGCAACTCCCCAACAGTCTTTATCAGCACCCTCCCCTCATCTCTGTTATCATGATCTCAAAAGGACAAGAGTATTTTCAGATACCTTCTTAAAAAAATCCATGCAATACCACATCCCAGAAGTTTGCAAGCTCTGACATTATGAGCATTTAAATTATTGGAATAAAGAGAAATAGATACATATGGCTGAGAAGTAAGCATGACCCAAGACTTGTTTTTATAGTGTGTGCTCATTATGGGGGTAAGAAGTAGAGTTGATACTTTATCAGCATCCCAAAGGGTTTACAGGGTCCTATCATTTAGTCAGGAGGATGTTCATAAGATTTTTGGGTGCTATTTCATTACCTTCTATCATCTCTGAAACTGATAAGCTACCCCAAATCTAAGAAGTTCTTCAGCAAGTTCCAGAAGAGCTCCAGCAAATAACAGAATGAAGTTTGTGCCATCTCCAACTCCTTGCTTTTGAGTGTGCGAGGCCATGGCATTTTCAAAATGGGTGTTGCATCATTTCTGATGAATTACTCTCCAGGAGACTGAATATCATTTAATTCATTCCACTAGGTCTCCATGCTGCACAAAAGTTTGGGAAAGTTTCCTGCAAACTTATGTTTTTGTACATAACCTATTCTAATGTTTTGCTATGTCTTTGAGCATCTGGGAAAAGCCTGGAAGCTTGGGGAATTGAAGTGCCATGACCAGCCTGAAAGAAGCTGTTTATGTGCTCCTTTGGAAAGCTGGCAGAACTGAGGAGCAGGCAAGAACAGCTTCTTCTCCTCCTCCCCCTCTTCCTCTTCCTTCTCTTCCTCTGAGACTGGGTTTTTCTACGTAGCCCAGGCTGGCCTTAAACTCATCATTGAACCTCAGCCTCATGAATGCTGGGTTCACAGGTATATGCTACCAAACCTGTTACACTTGTGTTTCTATTTCTGCATACAGTGGTCTGGAGATTGTGGGAAGAACAACATTGAATCTGGAGAGAGAGAGAGAGAGAGAGGGAGGCAAGGAGGAAGAGAGAGAGAGAGAGAAGAGAGAGAGAGAGAAAGAGAGAGAGAGAGAGAATAAATGTTTGAAATTTATTAATGAGGTGGTGATTGAAATGTCCCCTTTGCTTGATCCCCTTCCTTTGCTGTGGCTGTCTGTCAAGATGAAGCTGAGTATCTCTTTCCTAGCCATCAGTTGTCAGAGATTCACTGAACTGGATGATGAATGCAAACTTTGTGCTTTCTGCAAGAAGTCAATAGTCACAGAAATTCCTGATGATGTTCTGGATGAATAATGGAGGGGTTGTGTGGTCTAGATCAGTAGGAATGACAAACAAGGTTTTCCTGTGAGGCAGGTGTCTTGACCCACAGCAGACTCTGCTTTTGATGTTGAGAAAGCAACATTATTTTTGTTATAGACCGAAGAGAGATTTTATTATAGACCAAAGCACAAGTCTGTTCAGGGATACATTGTGGATGTGTTCTCAACTTGGTTATTGTAAAAAAGGAAGAAATGGATACTACAATGTTGACAGATACTACTGTGTCTTGGCAGTTGAGGCCCCAAAGAGCTCAGAATCCAAAACCTTTTCAATCCCTCTAAAGAAGGTGATGTCCACCATATGTTGGCAGGGTGTCCTTTAACAAAGGAGGGAAGAAGCCAAGAAAAAGCCCTAAAGATTCAGCATCCTTTACCCCATGTGACTTCCACACAAAAGCTCATGATTGCTCTGAAAAAATAATTCACCAAGAAAAATGAGGAAGGCTGCAGAACATGCTAAACTTTGGCTGAGAGAATGAAGAAAGATAAGAGCTTCTTCTTAAATGTCTGAATCCAGTCAAAAATAACTCTTTAAGGGTAATAAATTAATGATCAGACTGGGGGTGGGGAATTTCCCTTTGGCCATTCCCAAGTATGTTGGAAAGAAACTTATTAGAGCATAATTTTGTTATTCTTTTTTGCCCACATATATGTAATTTAAGAAAATATCAAACATTGTTACAATATTTAGAACTTTAGAGAGGGTGTTTATGATCATGTATTAAGTTCAGTTTTGTCAATTTGACACAGTGTAGCTGGGATCACCTGGAAAAGAAATTTAAATGAAGGATTGTCTTAGATTAGGTGGGTCCCTGTGGTAATATTTATTGCAGGTGGTACTATTGTCTAAGAAAGGGATCCTGTGTAAGAGGGGAGAAAGCAAGATAAGAGCTCATTAGACATTCTTTAGCCCATTGCTTTCTGGTCTTGATTGTGGATGTAATGTGGTTAGTTTTCATGTTTCTGCTCCCTTACTTCCTTGCAGGTGGACTGCAACCTGCAATCATGAGCCAAATGAATCCTTTCTCCATTACATCACTCCTGTCCAGGTATCTGATCACAGCAACAGGGAAGGAGACGAAGACACTGTGCTATATGAAGAATATAAATAGGTACAAATTGGTGATAGAGTGTGGAGCAGGGGGCCGGGTGCATAGCACTTGCCTATCAGGCACAGGCACTGGCTTCAATCCAAAGCTTCAGAAAAAAGCTCTTTCTGTTTGATCTCATTAAATTTTAGATGTTTATTAGACATTCAAATTGGCACTTCGGGGTGTGTCAGCATGGTGGCATAAGCTTGAAATACTAGCACTTTGGAGGCTGAGGAGGGAAGATCTGGAAACAAACCATAAATTGAGCAACTATATAATTACATGTAGATCTATCTCATTCTGTCCTAAAATCTTCATAGCCTTGAAGAACATGTTGGTACTTTCATTGATAAGCTGAGAGGATTTCTTACCATAAGCAGCACATATAATTCCTATACAGCCTCTTAGGATCACTCACACACTACCATTTGAGGCGAATGTCTAAGAGTAGAACTGCTAAGTCTGAGGACAACTGCACATTTACATTTTTGGACATTGTAATTTGATAATGTCAGAGAATTATCATTTCCTTCATCATGGTAAACGTTGCAGCTACCACCCCTGCTGCAAGAATGAACACCAGAACAGCAGAACAAAGTTGTTAAGTAGCTCACAAGCATTGAATGAGGCCATCAGAAAGAAACACCCAGAGGCCCAGGGAAAATGGTTTTTATGCTCAGGACAGATAAAGAACGAACAGCTTTGGGAAATGTGACTGGGCAGAAGTTAAACCCTCAGGACAACAAACTGATGGGGGTGGGTGTCCTGCAAGGCCTGTGTTCTGGTTTGCTCTCTGTTGCTGGAATAAACGCTGTGACCAAGAACAACCTGGGAAGGAAAGGGTCTATTTTAACTTGCTGGTTACATCCCATCAAGGCTGGAAGCCAAAGCCGGAACTTGAAGCAGAAAGCAGGTAGACCTGCTGCTGACCCACTTCCTGTAGGGTTCACTTTGAGCTACCTTTCTCATGCAGTCCAGGCCCATCTGCTTAAGGGATGGTAATGCCCACAGTAGGCCCAACTCCCCTGCATAAATTAGCGATCAAGAATATGCCCACATTGGGGTGAAGATGGCTCATGCCTTGGGGCGAGGGGGGGGTTGGCAAGAGGCTACTCTCTGAGAGTATGAGGCCAGCCTAGTCTATGTGGCTAGTTCCAGGACAGCCAGGGCTATTATACAGAGAAACACTGTCTTGAAAAACCAAACCAAACAACAACAAGAAAAAAAGAAAGGAAGAAAGGAAGGAGGAAAGACAAAAACACATGTCCACAAACCAACACATTAGAAATCAGAAAAGCCACAGACAGGCATACAGGATGAATGTAGTTTCTCAACAGAGGGTCCTCTTTCCAGGATCCCAACCTGTCTGGATTTTCATGCTGGGATGAGACAGGGGAGCAGAAGACATTTTTAGGTTTCATAGCTTGTTTGGGACCACGGGTGTCTATTTTACATAGCCTTGGGAAAGCAAAGATCCAGGAGAGAGGAGAGTCCAGGAAGGGGTCACAGGGACTTGGCTTCAAGTTCAGGGCATGCTAAGGTGTTCTGTGGGGACCAGTGTTCTGAATTCCCGTCAGAGGCCCAAATTCTTAGAAACGTTTGCTCCTAAACCAGCTTATGCTAACATCGGGTTATCCACTAATTTGGGTAAATTGGTTGAAAGTTGGTGTCTCATGATTTCAGTTTCTATTTCTTTACAAATGAGTTCATGCTCTGCCATCCATTTGCTTTCCTGCATATTTCTTTGATTTCACTTTGAGGCCCGTGTTAGGTTTCCTTGTCTCAGGCACCAGCATGGGGCCAGGTGGCGAAGTGGGTTGACACATCACCTGCTGTGCTCAGGTGGTGAACCGGGATGAGGAGGGAAACCTCACCACCAGCGGGAAGGAGCTGCGGGAGATCGGCTTGAGAAAGCGCTGGGACGAGGGCCGGAATCATCCAGGACCGTCCGGGGAAACCCAGGTTCCCGCGGGGCACGGCCGGACGAGCAGCTTAGATTCGGGAGCCCAAGCTGTCCGGGCGGCGGGCGCAGGACCCCGCCCTTCCGCGCTCGGTCTCCTGGGCGACGGGAACTGAAAGCGAAAGTGGAACCTGCCCATCGGCTTTAGGCTTCCAGCTGCACGAACATCTCCTCTGCATCATGGCAAGTCGCTTTCCTCGGGGTCGCGGTTCAGGGCGGCACGTCGAGGGTCTCAGAGCAGGCGTACCGCACGATCGCGCGCCCCGAAGTGGCCGTCGGGGTGCGGCAGGAGGGGCTCCCACGGGTGGGGACACGGGCGC